GGGCTGTACGGGTGGTCTGAATCACCCTGTATATAAAGCGTACGATATCAATGCAAGTCTCTCGGAATAGCACATCATTAAACGGACAGTTAAATTGCATACAATCTAAAAATTAGTTAATAGAAGTTTAGTAACTAAAATTACATGCAGTTCATTCTGCACATATCTATGTTAAATACATCACTACTAAAAAAGCAAATTTGAATATAGAATGGCTACTTTTCAGGAATATATAAATTTAATACGCAATATTTTATATTGCGTTGCTTGGCTTAAATATAATTAGCATTTCAATGTTAGATCATAAGCAGAGAAATGTCTAACATAAGATTTTTTAATTATACATATTCAAACATAAATATTTGTTTATCCACTTATCGTAATACATTACAATATCGAGTCATAAATACCTGTTTTACTCCCAGATTTTGGCTTACGATAAACCCAGAAGTTTAAGAGAAATCTCTATTCGGGAAAACGGACAGGCACTACCAATAAACACACATAAAGACCCAGACACATCCATGACGAAATAATCTTCACCCACATTGAAGCGTTGTTTGCATTTAAAGTCTCCAGACTGGAGTTTGGCCTATTGAAGTATCGATATAGTGATGACGAGACGTATTAAAACGACAGTTTAACATTATAACATTATAGATACGCACTTATACCAGTTTGTAAGTGTCATCATAACATACAAAGCAGCGAGAGAAAATAGGAGATGGAAAACACTCCAATTATATGCTACTTTTTCTTCTTCATTGTCCCAAACTTTGGCCTCGTTTCCACCCTCCGCATCGGGATTACGTCCTCCTACTGTAGCATAATCTGGTTACATTTAGGAAAACGAGAAATAACACAAAAGAAAAAGCTACTAAGCTGCAAATAAAAGTACTAAGCAAGCACTGCCTTTCATAATGCTGCATGCTGCAAAATACACGTGTGCATAGGGTATTACTTGGCGTTTCATCACATACGTGTCGAAATTATAGAAAAATCTAGAAATTAATTTGCAGCACTCAAAATACTTAATTCTAATATTACAAAAATTATATCGTAACGTTTGTGATAACAAATGTAACATGTGTAGAGAGGGGACATAAAGATAAACACACACTAACTACTAAGCAAAGTAGTATCTCTTGTTGTTTCATCATACCGTATAATTATAAATATGGACTAAATGTTTTCTAATATCTAAACAAAATATGTAAACCATTCGATAACTTGATCTGTGCAAACGAATAATGAAACATACGGGTATATGTTTTCAAAGAAATGCAAATAATCAAGATTTATGACAAGAAAGTAAACTTGTAAAATAGTGTGTGCCTACCTTCATTGCCGATAAGAGACTGCTCTCCCGTATTCCTAAGAGAAATCCCAACAGAAAGATCGATATTTAATATAAAAAGAGATAATACCGTAGATGCACTAAGATACTTTTAGGAACGGTTAGGATTTCCATAAGGAGGAACAGCACGCTTTCACAGACGTAGTTGCTAAAACATACAAACATCCAACCAATATTTACCAGATCCATTATGTTGAACCAACACACTCTCGGACATTGTAATCTTTGATGACTTGTACGCCGTACGTAAGGAACTGTATAGAACGTAGCTAGGCCATATTATCAGTCCTATAATGCTTTCCTTGTCGAACGCAATACGATTCTCTTTCGACAAGCCAGGGATGAGGCCAGGATTACACTCGTGATCTGTAAGTTCAAGTAATAACAATCGAGAATAAAAATATGGATCGCTGACTAATAGCATCTACCCTACATCAACGATATCTACCTGGACTGTTTGATATACCGCTCCACGTTAAGTAGACAACATATAATGTCACTACAGAGGACTGAAGAAGTCCGGATCGCGGCTGATGTTCTTGTACAGTCGGTAAAATTGATACGACACCGGTGATGACACACAAAATCAAATTGAACGAGATGAAGAACTTGTTCAGCGCGCAATCACCTTGCTGTAAATATAATACGAATGAGCAATTGTATTCCGTGTTTTGCAGCAGATCTGGTTTTAAAGCTAGATAAAGATGTATAATTAAGAATCATACATGCGTATAATACACGTAAAGCAGCACCGCTCCAGTAATGGAAATGGCATAATTGAAGAAAGTTGCACCCAGCAGTGCGGCATACCTAAAAGAATTCCATACATTTGATAACAAAAACGTCTGCGTCGCGGGATTACGCATTTATATTTGCTACAGGCATGACTTTTACCATCCTTTCGACTTGGTCTCCTCATAATTTCCTACCCAAGCGTCAGCCCAAGAGTGGGCGAAGTGAACGATTAGAATCAACTGGATAATTATGAAGAGGAAACCTCCCAACATACCAAAGTACATCCAACTAGATCCGAATGACCTCTCCGGGATGAAGAAGGCACCGGCGATCCCTCCGATTATCAAGAGATACTTGATCGCCCAGAATCTAAAGAATTTCATGTAAACGTCACGAGTCGCAGTTTCAGGTGCAACAGCCTGACACGCGCCAATTTGATTTTTACCCGTTTTGTATGGCCGCCCGTGGATCCCGTGAACTTCTCACCCTGATCATTAGTACGGACATCAAGAAAAAGAATAAGGAGATAATGAAACATATTCTATAGACTGCCAAGTAGCCGACCGCGTGATCGCAGTCGACAGTGACTTCCGACGGGACGTAATTGGAACTGTTTGTACAGAACGGGACCTGTTTGAAAAGAGAAAGACGCAGGGTTAACGCGCTTACATGGCGTCAGCCAAATTACTTGACATCGTTTCCGGCGTTACCTTCTTGAGAGCGCCTTGGAGACCAGGTGCCAGAGTGATGCAGGCTGCGATTGTTCCCAGCAACAGGAGCAGCGCATACATGATGCGAGTGCTTGTGCTGTTCCTGCACGAGGGACATTGCGAGCTGCAGGCTGTGCTCCCGCACAAGCACGCGAGCTATGCAACAAAGGGGAACGACGTGAGGCTCGGGTAATTCGTAAATCAATAAAAAAATAATACAGAACAGACGTTTTATAAATGACCCATTTTAACAGTGTTGTAATGTTTCTATCGTGGTAGAGGGAAGCTTTAAAAATAGCTCTGACACACCGCGTTCTTTCTTACTGCGTATATTAAAATAAATATCAGACATGTATATGTATAATTGAATAACAAACACCACGGCACGATTAGATATTCGATGAATCGTGCCCCAGCAAAGTTCTCCACGCTACACATTAAAGTGAAATTGAAATCAGATCAAGCGCATTGCAAATAAGAAACAATTAAGTCTAAGGTTAAAGCCCGGTCTACAATGAGCCGTTAGTCGTTAGTCAGAAGTCGCAACTATATGTTGATCCTTTTCCTTTCTGGGTGGAAGAAAAAGGACCGACATATAATTCCGACTTCTGACTAACGACTAACAACTCATTGTAGACCGGGCCTAAGGCCCGGTTTCACCAACGTCGCTTAACTTTAAGCTTACAATTAGTTTAATTCGTTCTTTGTCTCTTTTCAACTGTTACTTTAGAAAGAGACAAAGAACGAATTAAGCTAAGCTTAAAGTTAAACAACGTTGGTGAA